AGGGTCGAAAATGACATCGCTGGAGATGATGAAAAAAATAATTTAACATTGCTGTAAATGGAAGTTGCTGAAACAAAAACATGAATATCTGGAAACTAGAATCGACAAAGTGGTACTTTTTCATACGGACGTCCATATAGTATAGACGCAGGAGGCGACACGCTTTCGAGATATTTGCGATAACGATTCGAGATCTGTGCGACACAACTTCTGAGAAATGACGTTAAGATATGTGTCTCTTTTAGGGATTGGATTTGAGGACTGTCAGCTGCTGCGTTACCCAGATAGGAAATGCCAGTGTTGGAAAAATGGGCCAAGTCTGGCACAAGCCTGGGGTTGCCAGGTATGGGCGGCCAAGCTTGGACCGAGGTTCGGCCATGCCTGGGGACTAGGCTTGACCCTCGGGGGAAGGACGGGTAACCGAGCCTTGGTTGACAGAGCTGGCCCAGCCTTGGCCGAACATTGGCATGCCGGAGCTCGATAACCAAGCCCCAGCCAGCGGTGGCCCGGAGTTTGGTCATTGGGATCCAGCTCCGTTGAGCAATTGTAAGGGTTAAGTCGGAAGGGTAAGATGATGAGAATGGAATCATAGGGATGGAATCATAAGGGTAATATCTGAAGAATAAAATTGTAAGGGGTAAATGGCAATAATGGAAAGGGGTGAAAAAATCATAAAGCATTGTGAGAGTTGAACGGTAAGGGTGGAATCTTGAGGGTAAAATTTTAAAGGTGTAATCATAAATAAGTGGTAACATTGTAGGTATTGAAGTCACATGTTATTCGCTAATTATTACGAAAAGAAGAAGAATCGTCATTCAACATTAATCATCATTGTTATAATTATTATTTTAATTACTAATTATTATTATTGTTGTTCATTATTGAATTAATTTACCGATTAAACTATAGTTGAATCACTTAATATCTCTATCAACTGAATAATAAAAGGTTCAAGTCGAAAAAAACCGAGGTGGAATTAATATGGACGATTTAAAATAGAGGTATTACGAACTGCGCGGTAGGCTAGTGGTTAGGACGTCGGATTAGTAGGCATGAGGTCGTGGGTTCGAGCCCACGTTAGGGTAATATTTTAAGTTAAGAAAATCGGTTTTTCAGCGATGATTGCGTTAGGGTTTGGTAGGTAGGACGCAATTAAAACTAAAAATCATCCTAAAAAAGTCGATTATCTTGTTTTTGTTATTATTGATAATTGTCAAAGGCAGTTTGGTAGCCAGTCCGGCACCAATCGCATGCCGGTATTGATTTCTTTTCTTCCTTGAATCTGTTATGAATGCTCAGGAGTAAGATTGAATTACTTGTATTTCAATCACTGATATCATATTCATCTAATTAAGTAATATTTAATTGAGCCTGGCCAATGACTGGCAACCAATGGTGGGCCGAGATCGGCGCCCAGGCCTGGCCCCATATTATCATTCCAGGTTTCAACCAAGTCCGGCGCGGTCCTGGCGTCGCCTTTAGCCTTTTTACTATTTTATTTCATCCATCAGTGGTCATCATATGTCAATTTTTTCTCAAGTATATCCCGTGAAGTCACTCTGACCCATTTCCGTATGTCCCCATTCGCTGACAAAGCTATAAAACAGAGAATGAATAAAATTGAGAATCAAGCGATTAGCCTGAAGGAATGAAATCGAAAAATGTTATTCCAGAGGAGAAATTTCATTGAGTTTAAGTGAGGTTTAGATAAAATATACTTGACGGAGACGTAAGGTTCCTCTATTGCAACGTCACGCAGCTACTCAGGAAGGGGGTTATCAGAGATTTCCGATGAACACTTGGTTATAATGACTCGATTATAACGACGTATTGACATACGTAATAGATTACGTTTTTGTTGAGAATTATAAAAATCTCAACTTGAGACGTTCAAAGTTTCCATGTTGAAACTTTTAAAAATCTCGAGTTGAGACTTTCAAGTCTCAAATAGAGACTGACAAAGGCCTCAAATTAAGACCGTTCAAAATCAAAACTTGGGACTCTGAGAAGGCTTAAATTGAGATTTCTAAGTTTGAAATTGAGACTTTGGAAACTCTCAACTTGAGACATTCTGGCTTTAAATTAAGACTTTTGAAAATCTTATTTTAAGACCTTGGAAATCTTAAAATCAGATATAATTTTTTTGGGTGAAATTTTCTAAGCTGGTTTTGCAATTATTTGTCAATTTTCAATAGGAATTACCAAAAAACCAATAGAATTCCAAATGAAATTCCTCAGAAAATATATGACAATACAATATAGAATTTTTTTATACCTCCTGACATGAATTTCAATAGACGCCGAGTGAATCCTATATGATCTCCACTGGAAACTTCAAGTTAATTCTTTCACATTTCTGTAAAAACCAACCAAAACTTTTCCTTGGCGCAATTTTTTTACGAAAACATTTGTTTTTATTTTTTAGGGAGATTCATTGTGCGGAATGGCGTTCAATACGAATGAAGCCATTGTAATTAATTTTTGTAGCCCGTCATTTGACAGAGGGCGATTATAAACATGGAAATTATTCTTTAGTCATTCTCTACTCCAGGCTGATGCTTATCATTTGGCTTCTTGCGATTTTACAAATGATCTCTTTCATTTTTAGAAAGAGACATATAGAGCCCGTACTTGGCGGGATTTAAAAAAAATTAATACATACATACGGATAGCGTCTAGAAAAGGCATATTCGGATTTTTTGGATCAAAATCGGTTGTTATAACACAAAAAATCGGAAACTTAAATTTGAACGATTAAACTACTTTCAGTCGGATCCAAAAGATCTACAAAATTCTCGCATGTATGAGAAACTTTTGAAAAAATTTGGGGTCGAAAAAAATCTCAATTTTTGGAAGGGAAATCGATTTTTTACAACCTAAAAACTTTTTAGAAAACTAAGAAAACAAAAAACACATAAATTTTTACTATATTTTTCCATGGACATAGTTTATTCTTAAGGGGAGACTCCTGTGAGTTTTAAAAGACGTGGGTTATTGGAGTCAGACTTTTCATACGTGGAAGACCGATTATACAGATCTGAGTAATTAGCGCAAAAAAAAAATTTTTTTATTCTTCATTTGCACGAAAACGCTTAAAATGCTAAAAACAGTCCAGGGCCTCCAATTGTTGCGCTACAAAAGATTTTTTTTTTTCAAAATTTTCTGAAAAATGTGTGGAACAACAATTATGAACCAGTTTTTTGGAATTCGACTCCTACACAGCTGATTTCTGTTTTTTTTTCATATAAAAAACTTTATTATTTGTGTAAAAAACATACAAAAAAAGCAAATTTAGCCATGTAAGAGGTGAGTTTAAAAAAAACTAGCTCGTAATTGTTATTCCACATATTTTTCCGAAAATTTTGAAAAAAAAAATCATTCGTAGCTCAAAAATTGGAGGCTCTTCTCTGTTTATTGGCATTTTAAGCGTTTTCAGGCAAACGAACAATAAAACAAATTTTTTTTTGCCCTAATTACTAGTTTTCAGATTTATATACTCGATCTTCAACGTATGAAAAGTCTCACTCCAATAACCCGTGACTTTTACAACTCACAGGCGTCTCCCCTTAAGGATGTTTAACCTATCATAAGTGAGCAACCCCGTTGAAAACAAAAATAAAATTGACCGAATAAATAATTCATGTTGCAAATTATTTTTCTTATCAAATTAGAAGTTACATGGCATACTTTTCCCTTCTCAAAAATAATAATTAAAGAAAAAGGTCATAAATACTGGAGGACTTGTGACTACGGTGGTAACAGTCGAATTTTGATCGGGCAACATTGCACGCTTCGACTAGTGATGGGGTTGTAACAGTGAGATGGATGTTTGTGTGGGTTATACGTGTCCATATGCTTCCAGCACTGAATTGTCGTCACCGACTTTACCGACCTCAATCAGCTGTTGTGTGGTGTTGTCGCGTTGCTCGACTCGTCATGGCGGTCAAATTTTTTTTAGAAGAATTCGAAAATCAATTGAAGATATCGCGCTTATATGGCCCTACTTTTGTTCCCTACTTTTTCTCGCCGGCGATAGATTCTCCTTAGTCTAAAGTAAATGGCTTATGGTTTTTCAGAAAAGTTCACACGGTCACGTTTCTTCTATAAGCGTAATGTTACAAGGAGTGATTTTCAGAAATTAATTTCTCATTAGGATGCCCCGATGGAAGGATTGAGATTATTACTAACGCGTGGCTCGAATATGAACCTGACATGTGAAGCAATATCATAATTATGGTGAATAATGCGGGTTTTGGTTAAACATCCTTAACGTTAGATAAATGCATTTATTTTCAATAAATGTCTATTTAAAATTCGTCATAGGTGGACTCCTGTGAATTTCACCCCGAACCTGTCTCGCAAAGAAAAATTTCAAATGACGAAGATTAAAAAAAAAGTCTATCTCCCCTCCATCTCCACAAATTTTCTCTCCCCTCCCCCACCATTTACAATTCAAATACCCATATCGTTAATTGCCTCCTTTGCTTTACCAAGCACATCCCCTGAAAAAATCGATATACCCCGAGCACCGTGAAGTGCTGCCCCCTGTAATCGTCTCTCTCCCAACAAAGATATAAACCGGCTCGATTAATTTTTCTCTTTTCCTCAACCATGCTGTCTCCCCTTTTTATATATCTCACACGCCTACGCCAGTGTATCGCTCGCTGACAAGCCGGCTCCCATGCACAAACGTTCTCCCCCACAAATGCACCACTCATACACACGCAAACAGCTGTCAGACGCTTACCAGGAAAACGTCTCTGCGAGCGAAACTTGAAAAGAAAAAATATTATGGGAAAAAAACAGAAACACTAACCGTGAATTTCTCAAGGACGTCGGACGTAAATACAGACCGAATTCGATGATAAGAAGTTGATGAACAAAATGATATGCAAAAATCTCGTGTACGTGCACGTGTATTACAGTGGGAATCGGTACCATTGAGGCACGAGCGAGTTCTTGCTTTTATATGATGTTCAGTCGTGTTTTTGAGGCGCATAGCGCAACGCCAACTCATCTTTCTGCTCCCAAACGTGAAAAAAACGTTGTGACATGGTGTTTTTAAACATCTTCTCATCCTTCGGAAATTAAGTCTTAGTGAAAACAATTGTACAAGAAGTTGTCTGTCGGCTCTAAGGTGGGAGGGGGAAAGTTTTTATCAGTGTTTTTGTGTGAATGGAGAGCGTCTTTGTCAAGAGACGAAGAAAAAAGTGCGGGAGATTTGGATTTGAAAATTCTTTGAAGTTGACAGTGTGAGAGCGTAATTTATCCGTTTGATATGATTTTTCAGAGGATTTCACGATGCCGGATCGATTCACTGTGACTCCGGCGAGCAACACTCAGCGACCGTATGAGTGCGGAATATTGGTGGAGGATAATCAATCGCCAGGAGGTGATTATGGTGAGTGTTTAGTCTGCATGGCATTATTAAATGGACTTCATTCAGGGAAAGACGTATGAGAGAATTTGATACGATTTTTTCTCTTAGAAAATACCATCCCCATTTTCGATTCTTTTTAGTGAAAATTATGCAATTTTGAATTTCTCCTTTGAACATTGAATACAATCGAAATTATTCGAAAATTGGCGAAAAAAACAAATTTTTTGCCATAATTTCTTGACATTTTTTCGTCCGTGAAATTGCTCCGCCCCAATATTTCACGGATGTGAAATATTTCAAAGACGAAAAACTTGAGAAAATTTTATGCTCCACCTATAATTGGGACTCGTTATTTCTAGTCAAAAATAGTTTCTATAAATTGACGCGTCAATTTTTTTATGATGAAGCGTAAATCAGTTATTTTCGTTTGCAGAAATAACATCAGTCTTTTGTAATCATTTTTATTACACTGACCGGAGTAAATATTTATTTAACCTCAATAATTTCTGTCATTCTATCCTCCATTCATTCACGTAAGAGAAACCAAACAAAAACGTGAAAAGAGAAGAAGAAATGTTTCACGACAATTCTTTATGCCTGACGTAATATTTGCCAATTGTTTCACTCAGTGACAATCAATACGAGATAAAGTATCTTGATGGAAATCGTGAATGGTGGAGTTGCATTTTTCATGTATTAATTGCCTCGTTTGAATTAATTTTGATATGCGTAACGATGTAACGAGTCAACTAACAGGCTCCGATGCTTGAATGTGACAACATGAGAGGGTCAGCGGGAGGGGGCGTTACCGCGGTCCTCAGTTTTCAGTTGTAAAAATAGAACCACCAAACACCGCCGCTTGTGAAATTACGCGAGTTTTTCCCTCGGGAAATTTCTTTAGGTGCGAAGTTATTAGTTTTAGGGCCTTGGATAAATTCTCGCCGAGGTAATTAATTTTTTGTTGATGAGTTTTTAATTAATTATCAAAGTGCGAACTGGGGGATCGACATTTTTTCATAATACACTCTAAAAAAAGATTACTTCTGATAAGTAGGAAAACTACTTGTATTCAGTACCGAGGGGTTTCTGGAGAAAAGGTAATTTTTTTACTTGGTTCAAGTCGAACATCGACTGAATACAAGTTTTATGCTCCAAGTACAATTGGTACTGGTGACAAGTACCAACTGTACTCATCATCAGTACTAAAAGTACGTGTACTGAGTACCGAGCTGTACTTCTCAAAAGTAGAAAAAATACTCGAGACAAGTAGTAATAGCACTCAAATCCAGTACTAATGGATTTTCGCGGAATATTACAGTAAAATTTATCATACACTAGAGATCGCTGAAAAACGAAGAATTAATGCAAATAAAATTATTGTTTATTGTTCATTTGCCCCTCAAACGCTTGAAAATTGAAATGTAGTCCAATGTAATAAATTCTCGAGCTACAGAGATTTTTTTTTCAAAATTTTTCAAAAGATGTGTAGAATAACAATTACCAATTAATTTTTCCAAATTTAATTTCCAAATAGTCCTTTTTTTAATAACAAAAAATGTAATATTCATGCGAAATAGCCAGTAAAATGATCCTCAAAATAATTGTTATATTTTATATTGAAAAAAAAATTGAAGTATTAATCTTTTGAGCTATCTTGTATAAAAATTGCAATTTCGTTATGCGACAAAGAATAAAATTGCCTATTTAGAAGTCGAATTCAAAAAAATTATCTCGTAATTGTTATTCTACACATCTGTTTAAAAATTTTGAAGAAAAAATACGTCCGTAGGTCAAAAATTGAGTACACTGTGCTATTTTTCTTCATTTTCAAGGTCTTGGGGGCAAATCAACAAGAAATAATCGTTTTTTTCCCCACTTATACTTCGTCTTTCAACATATATAAATAATTGATCATCAATGTGTAATAAATCTTACTGCAATATCTCGCGATTTTGAAACTCATCGTAACCTCCCCTTGATGAAATTTGTTAATTGTCATCTGAGAATGATAATGATAATGAGAATGATAATTAATGATATGAAATTCCTCAACAAAATAACCAACCAAAAGTACTGGAATCAAGTCATAAAAGTACTCGCGAGAAGTAGAAAAATTACTTGCTCCAAGCATCAAAGGTACTTGTGAGAAGTAAGAAAAATACTGACAGGAAGTAATAAAAGTACTTCCTCCTAGTACTTTTCCTACTTGCTTAGCAAATATTGTACTTCACCCTAGGACATGAAAAGTACTTGGGACAAGTAGTTTCCCAACTTTTCACAAGAAAACTTCTCCCAAGTAGAATTCAGTACTAGTGAGTAGTAACTTTTTTTTAGAGTGTACTTTGATTAATTGATTTTCTTCGTGATGAAGCGATAAAAAAATAGAGGAATTTAGGGGAGAATTTAGAAGATTGGATATTCATTTCTTAATGATATTCAAGTATTGTTTATTTTCCGTGAAATGCCTTCCTCATTTAATACCGAATATCGGGGCTTTCATCAGAGCCCCATTTGACCCTAAGACATTGCACAATGATTTTATCATTTAAACTTTGCAGGTCTGAATTTGAATCTCGATATCAAATCGTTAGAGATTTTAAAAATCTGAAAAAAAAAATTAGAAAGCTTACTTGCAGAGGAAGATTGATGAAATAATTAGAAAATTGCAATTTTTTTAAATTACGAGCATTTTCGATAAATAATTTATAAACAATCAATTTTCTATCATAAAAATAATTGGTTCGGAATCGTAACAAATTTATTCATATTCTGAATTTTACCAGAAATCGATTTCATGCCAAAAAAATATGGTTTCCGAAAGTTTTAACAATTTCAATTATTTCCTTGTAAACAACGAATGTTTAAAAAAATCATAATTCTGTGCAAAACGTAATTTGAATGACACTAAATATTCATGGTTGTTTTCAAATGTTTCTCACGCAATTTAATTGAGAAATTCGATGATTGAAAATGTTTGAATCTATACTGTGGTCTTTACCAAGCTATGAAAGCTACTTGCATAACCTTAAACTAGGGGATTTCTACCTGATGCTGCGAAACATTTGACACTTTTTTTTCTATGTAATCAAGTTATTAATTTTAGGGCCTTTAATAAATTCTCATATTTTTCCTACATTGTGGGGGTCAAATTCCTCTTGATAATGTTGGCAGCTAAAGGTCAAATGGTTTTGCGGGTTAAATAACCCTCAAGGATGTTTGCAGTTGAGGATCAAACTGTCTCAAGTTATGAGTTGAATAAGGGACGTTCCATACTACTTCGATCAAATCGAAAGAATTTTGTTACCAGTTTTAAGAAACATTGAATATGTTATTGATTCATTCCATGCATGCCTTGGATGGTCACTAAAAAAAATTTTTTTTTTGAAGTTCATGAAATTTTTTGATCACTTTAATCTTTCCGATCCTTACAACCCATTTGACTTTTAACATGGAACATTCTTAAAGGTCGTTTGATCCTCAAGACCATTTGACCTTCAACTCCAAACATCTTTGAGGGTCAAATGGCCTTGAGAAGGTCTTGACGATCTTTAACCCTTTGAACAGCGTAATTCACGAAACGCATCGGTGTGAAAAGAGTAGGGAGCCCCTCAATGTATTAGAGCGCCATAAGAAAGGCCCGGTTGCGCACGCACGCTACCTCTAAATGGTGAAGAGTGAGGTACTGTGAGGATGTTCAATAGGTTACCCCCTCAAGCCCAGCATCCATACCACATATGAATCGACGCGTAAATGCATGTCTCTTCAAAGTTTACAACCTTGTGTCTGTTGAACTTTTCGAACTTTACAACCTTGAGTCTGTTGTGAAGACTAATCGCTTAACTGTGATTACTCCTACACGGAAAGAATATAAAATAATTTTTTCCTCTGGGAACATAGTAAGGTAACATTATACTTATGTGACCTAACATGAATTAATTATTTGACCGGTCTATTGTGTTTGTTTTTCAGAGTTATTACGGGGAAAAATTATAAATTAGGTCGCTCACAAGAATTCAAAAAATGTTTTCTTGTGAGGTGCGAATTCGTCACAGTCTGTGGGCTAGCTTACACAATTAAATTCCAACCTCTATGAGTCATCTATTTATTTTGTTAAGTGCTCATATAGAGGTACGGGATGGTTCCCTATATTCCTCCTCCCCATCTGGAGGTATAAATCAATTTTAGAATTAACTATAAAGGTATATTTTGGAACAAATCGTTGCCGCGTAGTAAAGTATTTTTCAAACCATACCAGCTCTTGGCGTAACCACACATTAAATTCCAGCACTATACTCTCTGAATTATGTTCAAGAAGAAATTTAATTGTAATTATGACCAAATTCTGATTCAGTGAGCATAGGAATTAACATATGCGCAAATCATTCATTGCAATATGAAAATTTCACAGCTAACAATGAATTGAAATAAGAAATATTGAATCTGACACGCAAAAAAAGGGTATAATGAAGGGGCCACCAATATCACGGCCGCAATTGCGTTATAAATGTGAAAAGGTTGCCTGAAATAATAATGCAAATCCGAAACTATTGACATTAGGAATATGAAAATTTTACGGTAGGTCCTATTCCCGATGTAAGCACTCATTAACAGAACATTCTTAGAAATTAATTAATTCATTAATGGATATGTATTTCAACTTCTTTACAAAATTCATTTCTGAAAAGGTCAATAGGGGATGATTTATAGAAACTTCAAGGAAGTTTGCAAGTTTCCGAGTTATCCAAAAAATTCAAAACAATTATGAGGTTTTCTAAAACAATTTGAGAAAATTCTCAAATATTCTAGAATTTTTCCCATTGGGAAACCAAGTGAAAAGAAACGGTAATTTCCTGAACAAAACTGATGTGAAGGAGTCACGTGACTCTGACTAATGCACTCTGATTGAAATGAGAAAGGAGAAACAATTTGAGAAATACCTCGGATTTTTAGAACAATTGCACAAAAATTCTCAAAAAAAAGTACTACTCAGGCAGACTTTCGCAATAGAGGGTTAAACAGTT